GGTCTCATAGCTAAAGTTTATAGCGTGCTTGAACGGAAAGGGCACTTTATAGGAACTGTCTCCTGAGTGCTCATGGTAGCCTTATGAGACAGGTCCCCGTGTTATCCTCACTTCCTAGGTGGGAAAACTGAGGCACAGAGCGTTAGAAATGCCAAAGGTCAGGTGTCAGTGGGTGGTGCACCTGGAATTTGAACTCCGGGCCGGGCCGCATGTCACACCATTTGCCTCTCGCCATCCAAGCCCTTCTGAGTCCCTGCCCCCAGCGCAGGCAGATGTGCTCTCAGCAGGGTTCAGAGAGGGTGCTCAGAAGCAGGCTGACGGTAATTACCGTTTGCATTGTGCTTGCACGGTTCCCACCCGCATCGCACCCCCACGGCAAGCCGATGGAGCAGATAGCAGCCTTATTATCCCCATTCTGCAACCGGCTCGGCCACTTGGCCAAGGCTGCCTGACCTGTAAGGGCAGAGTCAGGCCCGGAGCTCAGGTCTCCAGCCTCCGAGAGACCCAGGCACGTTCCACGGAACCGGGCGCCTCGCCCCGTGCCATTTGCATGTCAACAGGGAGGAGGCCCGTCCACCAAAGAGCGAGCTGCTGAGGGTGGAATGCCAGGCGTGGGCCAGGAGGGCGGAGGTGCCAGGGGCCTGGCGTAGTTGGGAGGATGGTGTAGCAATGTCACGTACGAGGTCCTCTGGCCCTGCCTAGAAAGCTGCACTCCTGACTCACCTCTTCCTTATCCTCAGCCCGGGCTGAGGGACAAACACATGCCCAGACTGTCCCGAAAGGCCGCCCCGGGCTCTGCCTGAGTGGGTGTGGGGTGTGGAGGCAGCGTTCTCCTCGGAGAGCTTGCTTTGGCTCTAGCTCGAACCCCAAGTGGAAACCGGGAGGGAGGGGGCCGGTGGGACCCTCTGCTTGCCCTTTAAGTTTCATTGCTCCCTGTGGAATGGGAGGCTGAAGCCAGGGCTGCCGGAAGCAGGTAGGGGAGAGGGGCCCTTCCTGAAACCTCTAAGCCAGGGTTCTTACCTCGCCGCTGCTGCCATTGGTGCTGCGCTGTCTGTGCGCTGGGCCTGACTAAGCCTCAGCAGCACCCCTGGCCTCAACCCACGAGATGTCAGCACACACACACACACACACCCCTTGTGACAACCAGAAATGTGTCCAGAATTGCCAATGGCCCCTGGGGAAAATTCTCCCTCTCTCTCTCTCTCTCTCTTTCTCTCTCTCTCTCACACACACACACACATATACACACGCATGTGCACCTGACAGGGAGGACCTGACTGGGGAGGAGATGGTTAAATGAAACCAGATGTTAACCTGGAAAGTATGCAGTGAGGCCCCACCCTCCCTCTGGAGCTGCCTGTGCTCCGGGCTTAGTCACCTGCTGCCTCGCTGGGCCCCCAGAAGGGGCAAGGCAAGGTGATGGCCTCCTGGCTTCCCCCTCCTCCCCTCCTTGCCAAATATCTTCCCTTCCTCCTCCCTCTCCTCTTCTTCCTCCTGGAGACTGTCCGGTCCCTCTGTCCCTGGTTCAGTGAAGCCTCATTCCTGGGTGTGCTTGGGGCCCTGGGGCCCCCCACCAGGGTCTGAGGGTTGCAGCAGCAGCAGCAGCAGCAGCTGGGACATAGCTGTCGGGTAGGCCCAGGGCAGGTGAGCCGGAGGCAGGGCCTGAGCTGGGCAGAGGAAGGGCCGTGTTCAAATCCTGGTTCCCCCACTAACCAGTCACTAGACCTGGAACTTGTACAAGGCTCTTTCCCAGCACCTCACTACCTGCATGAACTCAATCAAGTGCTCAGATGCCCTGAGCCTCAGTCCCTGCACTTGAGGACTAGGAGTGACATCTCAAATGGCTCTGAGGAGAACTGGTACTGATAGATTCTCAATTTTGTTGGCAAAGAGGGTCATCCTTCCTTCTGTGGGGTCTCTGGTAAGACCCCCCACCCCAAACACTCTGAACACACCTTCCCCGGTTACCCCTGACACCAGCCTCCCCAGCCCCAGGGGCTGAGCCTGAGGGTGGGGTGGGGAGCAGGTGCGTTGGGGGTTGGGCCTCTGCAGGTCCCTCGTCGCCATGGCCACAGGCTGAGCCCTGCTGTCCTGTCGGAAGGGCCAGAACCCCACATTCTCAGAATCACACTTCACAGGAAGAAACCCGAGCTGCTCCCGGGGCCCAGGAAAGGGAAGATTCTACTGGGCCAGGCTCTCACCCTCAACGCCCGCCCTGAATAGAGGCTGTCATGAACTCCACGGCAGTGACTCTCACTGCCTGCAGGTGGCGCTGGCAGCGATGAGGGCCAGTTTTGGCTGTCACCACTGGGAAGCGGGTAAAGTGAGTAGATGCCAGGGATGCTGCAAACAGGCCTGCCTCGCACAGGCCAGTGCCCCCACAAAGAATCATCCAGCCCCAGAGGCCGCAGTGCTGAGGTGAGAAGCCCCCTCTGCCAGCCTCCGTATCTGTGTTCCTCTCTGGGGAGTCTGTTACTTGCTCACCCAGGGCCTGGCATATCAGGGGGATAGATTTGAATGAATGAAGCAACCAATATCGTACCGTCAGCTCTGCGGAGGGAGAGCTATTCAGAGTATAACTGTCAGTGCCTTGTCCTGTCCACGCAGAGTCCAAGAACCCAGAACCCAGCCCCAGCATTCAAACCCCCAGCGGTCCGGCCACCCTGGCCATCCGGCCGCCTGGCCCTCTGGGGGGCCTGGTGGGAGGGCGGCCCCGCGCGCCCGGCAGGAGCTCAGCACGTATTAATAGATGGGATGCGAGCAGACGTGACTTGGTAGGCTTGTCCCCGCAGTGTAGGGGGCACAGGATGCATCATGGAGTACAGGCTGCGGACCGTGGGGTCAGCCAGGCCTGGGTTCAAATCTCGGCCTGGCTTTTCCCGGTCACGTGACCTCCGTACTTTGTTTTCTCAGCTTGAAATGGGTTAACAATAATGCCTTCGTTAAGGAGTTCCTGGGAGGGTTAGAAGCGATAATCCACTTAGTCCGGTGCCACGGTGCTCAGGGCCTGAGGTGGACAGTGATGGCCGATGACCGCCATCACAGCTCATTTCCCGAGCTTGCTCCTCTGTGAGTGATCCCGCATCCCGGGGTGAGCCTGGAGTCGGGGAGACTCTGAACACCCGCTCATGCCGGCTCCAGCTGGGCCGGGTGCCACGCGGGGGAAGCCCCAGGGACACAGGCATGCAGGATGTGGTCCTGGCCACTGGGAGCGGTGAGCAGGCTCGCTGGAACCTCAGCAGGAGCCGAAGAACCACAGTTTGGGAATAGGATGAGGCAGGCACAGCGCCCGGGGGCTGCCCTAAGGAGGCACTCCCTGCCCCGCACCACTCCGCACGACTCCGAGTGATGCGCTGGCCTCACCCTAGTCCTCCCCTGCAGACTCACATGCCAAGAGGAGGCCTGAAGCATGGGGGTGGGGGTGGAGGCAGGGACTGCAGCACCAGGGGCTTCCTGGAGGAGGAGTCCCTTGCGCCACTGGCTTGAAAGGAGAGGGAGAATTTTGAAATGCAAAGCTAAGGCATATCATACACTCGTGGGCAGGTACCTGTAAGAGCAAGGGCTGCCTTCGGGAAAGCCCTGGGCATGTTTGAATTGTGCAAATCGTTTGTAAATTAAATGCAAAGGAGTGTGCACTGGGACTTGAGGACCAGGGATTTCTTTTGTAAAACGCCGGGGCTCAGGGTCAGTAACTCTGCAGCTAGGGGTCCTTTCCCAGTTCCCCGGGGCTGCTTCTCTGCAGAAAGGAATTGGCCTCCCCTTCCCATGCTCTCTCCCCGATGTGTCGGGGGAAGCAGCGCAGAGCCGGCCTGACACACAGCACCGTCCTTCAGGGAGCACTGTCCTGCCTCCAACGATCCCCAGGGAAGTGGGCATTCGGTAGCCAGGAGACAGTGTGGGGTTCAGAGTCTGAGGACAGTCACGGAGGCCACGGCAGAGGGAGAAATGTGGCAACAGGGACCTCCTAGGGGTGGACGCCACCCCTGACCACGACACACTTAACAATGAGACGTTCTAAAACGGAATGGGCCGGCCGGCCGGCGGCTGGGGCCAGCCCTCACCGGAACCAGTTCCTGTGCAGCCATGTCCGGTGCGTTCGCATGAGCACTCCGAGTGAGAGAAGGAGTGAAATCTTGCAGGATGAGGGTGAGCGGAAGCGCTGGGCTGAGAGAATCTCCCTGATGAAGGGAGGGAGGGAAGGTGTGGGCCGGGGAGGGGCCGGAGCCACGGCCACGCGGCCTGGGAGGGAACGCGTGGCGGAGGGTGATGGGCAGATGGCGAGGCCCGAACACAGGGTGCGGGAGCCCCGCGCTGAAGCTCCTTCTTCCAGGCGGGCCTGGGCTTTCCTCTGGAGGCAGCAGAAACCCGAGGAGGTTCTGAGGAGAAGGGCCTCCGATCTGGCCATGGGCCCGGAAAGATGAGAGTGGATGAGAGTGAGTGTGAAGCAGAGGCTGAAGGAGGCAGGAAGACGAGAGAGAGAGAGAGAGAGAGAGAGAGAGAGAGAGAGAGAGGGAGAGAGAGAGGAATAGAGAGAAGGAGGAGAGGGAGAGGAGAGGTAGAGAGGGGAGAGAGCGGGGGAGGTAGGGAGAGAACTGAGTGACCCTGCAGGAGGCAGGGGTGCAGAGGGCAGGGAGAGAGGGGCCAGAGGAGTGTGACCTGGGGACCCTGACAGACAGGTGGGGTGTGGGAGGGATGGGAGGGTTTAGAGGTGTCCCCAGGCTCCCGGCCTCTGAGCCCGCGGAGGCCTCTGCGAAGCAGGTGGAGGTCTGCATTGCGGCGGGTGGGTCGGCAAACCGAACCATGAAGGTGCTGCCTGGAGGTGCCTGGCTCCTGCAGCCTGCAGAGCTGTGCTGGGGGGGAGGGGGAGGGGGAGGTAGTGTGGGGGAGGAGGAGGACTCCGGGGCTCCGACCACAGCCCCTCTGCTTTCCCTCCTGCTCCTGGCCCCAGCAGGCAAGTCCCAGTGCGATGTCCCGCTCTCCCTTTCTCTCCTCCCTCCCAGGACTCCCAGAAGCCCTCCACACCCAGCTATGTGCTGAAGGCGGCGCTGGGCAAGAAGGGGAAGGTGGCCCTGGCGTGGCCGCCGCTGTCCCGGTCCTGGAAGAGGGACCGTGAGCAGGCTCTGGCCGCAGCCTACATGCCGGTGGTGGTGGACCTCAGGGGCCAGAGCCAGGACAAGTTCACCTTCAACTTCTACACCTCCCAGTACCCCAACACGCTGAGCCCCTTCTGCACCATGCAGAAGCCCACGTGCGGCTACCTGTACCGCCGGGACACGGACCACACCCGCAAGCGCTTAGACATGCCTCCCGCCAATGCGGTCCTGTGGCGGTCCTAGCCCTGTGCCAGCCAGAGGCCCGCCTGCCCCTTGCCCAGGACCCCCGTCCTGGGGGGAAGAGGCTGCGCACCCCAGCGGCGGGGGGCCGTGAGGGGCTGGGACAGCCGTGCCCGTGACACCTGTGCCGTGCCCACTGTCGGCACTGGCAAAGGGAGGTCTCTCTTCTTGGCACCAATTAAAGTCTGTTCTTCCTTTCGTTGGCATCTGAGCGCGTCTGTGAGCGGGTAAACTGAGGCCCGGGGGCCGCTTTAAGCAAGGTTATGTCCAGGCGGGGGTCTGAGGACTTGATTCTTCGTCCCCTCACCCCGAGAAGAGCTTCCAGCTTCTTTCAGAGCCCAAGTCCCAGCCGCTCCGAGGACAAGAACGAGATGCACCAGCCGACCACACCTCTCAGCGCAGGCTGTGGCCGCCAGGGGGAAACGGCGTGCTGTGGGGGGTGAGTCAGTCCCGAGGGGCCTCGCTTTATAGGAAACCAATACTCTGGACTTGCCTTTGTTGGTGGGGATGGACTTCCTGTCTCTCCACTGGTCCCGGAGAGCTGCCTCTGAGGCTGGTCGGGCTCGTGGGCCATGGGCCATGGAGAAAAGGGATGAAGGCTGAGGGTACGTGACCAGGGCAGTGGCCTGGTGAGTCCCTGGTCACTGTCCCCCCCCCCCCCCCCCAGAGAGTGGTGGGGGCTGAGGCCAGCTCTAAGCAGCCCCTGAGAGCCCACTGTGGGACTTTCCTCCCAACGTCACAGTCAACAGCTCGTGATGGCAGCTTGAAACGGGCTACGGGAGTGTTTGCGGCCAACACCTACACAGCGGGGTTTCTTTTCCCCAGGGAGTCAGTTGTCAAACAGTCCCCAGCACAACCCTGAGCAAATCAAGCCGGATTCTTTTCTAGGAGTCCCATCCCATTCCGGGTAGCATGGCGTATTCAGTGGTGCATACGTCCAGAGCACCGCAGCTGGGCGGGTGTGGGATAGCAGGACAAGGCATCCGGTGACGCCGACCAGCAGCCAGTGCTGGGCCGGGCTTTCCTGGTACCTTCCTCTGAGCAGGAGGCGGTGAGGAGGCAGGAGGGCCAAGGCCTCCCTGGAGGCTGCCGGGCAGCCTGGGCTCCGGTCCCTGTTTGCTGCGGGTGCGCTCGCACCTTAGGGGTTCCTCAGCTGGCTGGGTCAGGCTGCAAACAGGCCAGTAGGTACCTTACCAGGTCTCTCCTGCCGGGTGGTGGGTGTTTGAGGAGCCAGCATGGGAAGCAGCTGGAGGGGAGTGCGAAGCGGGGGAAAGTGTCTCACTCTTCCCTTAACGCCCCAGTTTTCAGAACAGCTCTCTCTCTCTTCCTGAGCATAACCAAGGTCAGGAGGGGCAGATGCCTGTTCTGCCGCCTGGCGGAGGGCACTGGGGAGGCCATGGCTCCTTCCGCTAACGGCCCACTTGTCCTCTCATGCTTGCACCCAGGTGGTGCATCCCAGCCTTCGGGGCACCTTCTGCACCCCTCCTGAGCCTCCTGAGGCAGGGGTGGGCTTTGTGACTGTGCCAACCGCCAGTCTCAACTTTCTGCAGTCTGATCAGACAGTTACCGCTTGTCCACCTGCCTCCTGTTTTCTACAATTTTGTCAGAGCCTCTAATCGGCTGTCTTCCTTCTCTCCTCCCAACCCTCTGTGGTGGGTAGCTTTGAAAATTTTCATTTATAATTTTTAAAAAATACGTTTTTTTATTAATTTCAGAGAGGAAGGGAGAGGGAGAGAAAAACATCAGCGATGAGAGAGAATCACTGATCGGCTGCCTTCTGCACACCCCACACTGGGGACTGAGCCTGCAACCCTGGGCACGTGCCCTGACCAGGAATTGAACCGTGACCTCCTGGTTCATAGGTTGACACTCAACCATTGAGCCATACTCACTGGCCTGGCAAAAATGCCTTGATTGCCATTGTAGTGGGGTTTGGAAAAGGAGCAGAGATAATGTTCTATGTACAGACAGACGTCCTCATCCTCCATCCACTCCATCGTCCACCTGCTGAACCCCAGCGCCACCTGGATCCTCGGGCCTCAAAGACGAACAAGAACCACCTCTGTGCGCCCGGACCAGACAGCCTTGGGGACAGTGGGGGCAAGGCCAGCGTCTTCACTCCCTTACCTGCCCTCTCCTCCATCCCCTGAAGAATGGTTGCCCCCTGGAGGTTTGCCTTGGTAGAGCAGCCTCCACGGAGGCTCCAGGAACCTGTTAAAGAAGCAGCAGGTCCCAGTGGGTCTGGGTGGGATGGTCCCAGGAGCAGAGCTGGTGCTCCGGGTTCTGTGTGCTTCTGTGTGGGAGGCGGTGGGGGGCGGGCAGCCTTGAAGGGGGGTCGTCAGGCCCGGGTTTGCGGCCCCTCCAGTCTCTTCCCTCCGACACTGCCCACCTGTCCCTTCCCTTGGTGCCATTCTGCTGGTGGATCCTGTTCCTCTGGTGTGGCATCTGTCCCGGGGGATTCCTGCAGACAAAGCAGCCCGGGGAGCCATGAGGCCTCTCTTCCCGTCCACTCCGCGTACGGCCTCTCCTGGGCCCGAGGAGTGAGTCCCAGGCCGCCCTGACGTGGCGTCCGTGTCTTCAGGGAGAAAGGAGAGTGGGCCTGAGAGGGCCACTGAGGAGGGAGACGCTGTGGGACCTGGCAGGTGCCCCACGAGGCAGGGCAGCGAAGCAGCCTGTGATGTGCGGGGAGCACTTTGGTGCCTTCCACCTGAAGCTCCTCGGTGAAGGGAGAGCTCTCCCTGGAGGCCAGCGTCTTGCTCTGGTGGCTCAGCATCCTGAGCTGCTGAAGGGTGTGCGCCTGAGGAAGGGCTGCTGGGTGGGGGCCCCTTTCCTTGCCAGGCAGTGGGCTCAGCCTGTGGGTACACGTGGGTCTGGCAGTGGGTTCGGCCGTGGGTGCGGCAGTGGGTGTCCTGCAGTGGAAGGGGGGCTGCTCCCTGGACAGGGCTGCCGCCCCCCTGAGCTGACCTGCAGCCCCAGGAGCCACAGCCTGACATTCTTACACACAATTGCATGCGAATCGCCACCTTGGTGCTTTCGTTCTCAAACTGCCTCGGAGGGCTCGGGTGTGTTTGTTTGAATGAAGAGGGGGTTCTTTTCCTAACGTAACCGGCCCCGTGCACCATGCAGAGGCAGTGGGGTGGCCGTGGGTCAGCAGCTCCACAGCGGAAGCTGGCATCTCCGGCTTCCGTGGCCTTTCCCTCCACTATGGCCTCCAGGTCTGAAGGAGGCCGCTGCACTCCAGGCCGCGCTCACATCCAAGGCCAAAAGCGGGGGCGGGGCGGGCAGCACCAGTGGCGTCGTTATCACTTTTTATCGAGAGAAAGCGTTTCCCCAGAAAACCCTGGCAGACCTTCACTCGCATTTCTTTGGCTGCACCATGTCCTGCAGCCACGTTAGTGCCCAAGAGGCTCAGAAAACAAGTCTCTTTTCCAGCAGCGTCTTGTAGGAGAGGCAGGCGGAGGGGAGGGGGGGGGGGGGCGGGGCTGAATCCAATGAGGTTTTAACGAAGGCCTCCACCTTCTCTGGAGCCCAGCCGCAGGCGGATGTCGGTCCCCACACACAGGCAGGGCCGTGGCTAATGGGATTAAAGGGACAGACAGGGTTGCTGTCATCCAGGGACACTGCTGTGCCCAAGACTCAATGTAACGGCACCTAATCTGAAGGCAACAGCACGCCACCCCGTAGCAGATACGAACTAATGCAGCAACCGCCAATATGGGGCTCTCACTCTTTGCCAGACCCAGCTCTAAATGCTTTCCGTTTATCGACTTTAATTCACTGCATCCTCTTCCCAGCCCTGTGCGGTGGGCACCCTTAGCTGCATCTGAAGAATGAAACTGAGGCCCAGGGCGGGTAAGGTACTTGCCAAGGTCACCCGGCAAGTAGTGTGAGCCAGAAATAAAATTGTGCTGCTTTCAGCCACTGAGGTTTTAGGGTGGTTTGTTCTATAGCATCCCCTGGCCAATTCTGAGATATTTATGCATGTATTCTGATATGTCATGTATGTTATATGTAACATAGATTGCATGCCATTTATATAAGTTAATTTATATGTAAGTATATTGATGTCATTATATTGTTATATATTTTATTTACATACTAAAGGCCCTATGCATGAAGATTCGTGCGAGAATGGGCCTTCCTTCCCCTGGCTGGCAGCACTGCCTTCTCTCTGGACTGAAGCTGCCTTTCTGCGTTGGCTCTGGCTCAGAGCTGCCTTTCCACCTCACCTGCTGCCCAGAGGCCCCGAGCAGCTGGGGTCAGGTGGAATGCCCCTGGCTGCCCAGCGCCTTAGTTTGCAAATTAACCACCAGCTTTGATGGGTTAATTTGCATATCCATTCCTGATTGGCTGGTGGGCATCACAAAGGTATGGTCAATTTGCATCTTTCTCTTTTAGTAGTGTAGATAAGTACATTTACATAAATACTCGTGAATATACATTCACTCTGAAGAAACAGTGCTTTGCACCTGGAGTAAAGAATCCTCTCCTTGCAGCCTGGCAGCAATGGGAGGGCCGGGCACACAGCTGGGGGTCCTGAGAGGAGCTTGGCAAGCTCATGACATTTGTGCAGTATTTATTTCCTTAAAAGTATATTTTTGTTGCTTTCAGAGAGAAAGGGAGAGGGAGAGAGAGATAGAAACATTAATGATGAGAGAGAAACATTGATCGCCTGCCTCCTGCACACCCCACACTGGGGATCAAGCCCCCATCCAGGGCATGTGCCCTGACCGGAAATTGAACTGTGACCTCCTGGTTCATATTCATAGATTGGTATTCAATCACTGAGCCACACTGGCTGGGCTGTGCAGTATTTAAAGGTACAATCTTTGTATCAGTCAGGAGAGGGTAGATTAGCTGAGGTAACAAACCACCCCCACAAGGCACCCCTTCCCCAAGTATAAAAGATACTTTTGTGCTAGGGTATCTGTGTACAACCTGGACACGATCCAAGTGCCTGCTGGGAAAGCAGGCATGTGGGTGCTGGTCCCTCTGGCTGGGGTGGGGACAGGCACAGTTCACATGTAGAGGAGGGGGAAGTTGGGGAGGGGCAGAGCCGGACACTCCCAGTAGCACCCTGCCTCAGCGCACCTGGATGCTGGCTCCCAAATGAACCGCTGCTCGTCTGTGGCCGGAGCATGTCCCACAGGGTCAGAGCAAGCTGTTGCTGCACAGACGGGCCCTCCAGCTCGGCTGGGAGCTTT